TCAAGCTTATATGACCATATGGGATACAAATGCTACTCTATAAACAAATATAATTAGCTTGAAGCTTTGTGTTAAAAGTCATAGAAGATGAGATGATAAAGACGAATTTGTCTAATTTCAGAAGAAATGTTTCTTGAAATAGAAGATCAAGAGCATTGAATTACTAGAAGTATCCAATATCATCCGGAATTACTCAATATCAAGTAAAAATTGAGTCGAATTTTAGATAGTTCTATAAATCAGGATATTTGACTTGCATATATTATACTCCTGTAAGGATCGAGCAAGCATGGAGCTGCTAAATGTCAAGCATTAAAGATAAAACATGTAAGAATGGATAGAAAAGTTTCTCTTGAAGAAGAACTTAATTTATGTGCTTATAGATTTGTTGCTTTTGCGATTCATATCCTGAAGTATTGATAGTAGTGGTGGTGCTTTAAGTTTTAATTCTCGTTGAATTAAGTGGATTATATAAACTCGTAGAAGAGTTAATGGTTACTTTATTAACTTGAAGACTAATATGAAGTCTTAGTTGCAATTTTTACTTGCAGTAATATATGTTAATCTTACATGAAATGAATTAGATTTATATGTTTTACATATAAACAATTGCCTATTGCCTATCTAAACAAATTTTATATTAATTTTATCCACAAAGAAGCCTCAATTAACTATGAAGGTTATAGTTCTTTATGCACTACTACCATGTAGGTAGAAAGAAAACTGAATTTCTAGAAGCACATGAACAATTGAACTATACTAGTATATTAACTGATATTAGAATGATCAATTTAGTCAAAAAATAGTATAATCCATAAACTAAGTATTTAATACTTCAGCCCAGAAACTAGAAGTTTAAGTCCTACCCTGAATATGTTGTTATACACTGAATAGTGCACTTGATATGTGAATTTCATGTCAGAACCAATGAATACCATAAGTATGATTGGATTCTATGGAACATTAGAAATGATTATTCATAGATGATGCATGTAGCATATTACTACTTGAAGTAACTATGGCATGAAAAGGGGAAGAAATTTTGGGTAAAGGCATAAAAAAATGTGGGTAATAGCCTTCCTAAATCTATCTTTAAGTACATGTATCAGGACTTAGAAGTCCTAACCGCGCTCCTTCGGGCCGAGTTAACTTTTTTTACATTGCACTAATTGCAAGCAAACTTGTAGTTTTGCATTTTGTTGTCATCTACTACGTTGGATTGAATACCAACATTCCACATTACACATGAATGTGTATCACTATGTTGTGCTCTCATCGAGCTACAACTATCTCTACTCTTGCATGAATATTAGCATAGTAGATATATTTGTAGCTAGTAGCTACCTTTGCACTTCCCTCATAATTAAATTGGCTAGCTAGCACACTATGTCTACGTAGTTCTCGTTGAACTAAAAAATATTTTGCTTTCAATGCATCGCATTCATAAGCAATAGATTGGTCTATGGCCAAGTAGCCTAAGATCAAGGGGAGTCGATGAATCTGAAATTTACAAATGAAGAACTGACCCAATTGAATGGGTTGGATTATAGTGGAAATTGAGTTGGTAGATAAAACACATGATGATTTGGGATTTATGAATAAAAGGCATTTGGAAAATTTTGCATTAATGGCAATTAGAAAATTCTAGAAGAAATTCCATGTAATTTTGAATGTTGCGTATTTTATACATTTTAAGTATATGATCCATTTTTAAAATTATGTATGAGTAATTGGATCAATTTTTTGGCTAAACAATAAAGAAACTAGACAAAGAAATAGTTTTTTTAAACTATGATATGTGCAAAATCAAGAGAGAACATCCCTGAGTTTGTAGGAATGTTAAACATTCTCAAGTACATTTTATGTATTTTAGCTCGCTACATTTAATGAATACTAACCCTCAATTTAAATATGTGTGTGAATATTTCCCATAAAACTTCATCATAGCGTACATGAATGGGCCTCCACTTATAATTGGATATACATGAATTTGAATTATTTTAAGCCCATCATAGGGGATATCTTTTGAAGTATGCTATTAAAGATCTAATATTGACATAAGGGGGGGAGAGCCTACGTTGAATGCCAAATATTATTTTCATAGAAGAAAAATGATCTCAAGAGAAAATATTCCTTGAAGCTTGAAGTAGGAATAGTATCACGCACTAAATTAAACGATAGTTTGACTAATGCTCACAATAGTTTGACTAATGTTCTTGTGAAGCATGAAGCAGAACATATGCCAGATATTTTTGAAAATAAGAGAAGTAACTTGAAGTTATAAACCAGAAGTTGTGTTTACTAGTAGTAAACAAAATATTGTATATTATCAAGCGAAAATCTACGGAGACGTCTGTGGATTCTAGTTTAGTGTAAACTTGTTGAATAGAAATAAAATAAAACTTCTCTATTCTCATGAAGAAAACACCACATGAAGAAGGTTAAGCACCTCATGAAGAGGATCATCATGAAGATAAAATCCAACACACTAAGCGTGCGCATCATTAGTGTTGGGTATGCAGAACAATAAATCATTTCTTGTTTGGGAAATAACAACGAGATAGAATAATCTCATATTATCATAATATTGGGAGAAAATAATAGTTGTCGACAACACTACCTCTATAATTACAAATGTTTCTCTTATGAGAACCCGGACCCGAAAAACAAAGTCCATGGCAAAGTCACCTGTAGCGATTATATCGGGTCAATGAAGAAAGCAATTGAGGTTGTATCTCATATTAAGAAGAAATAAATGTTCTGCTATATCTTTGGCAAATGAAATGAATGAATATGAAATATGCAGTTAATAACTGGATTATAAAAATTCATATAATTCCTGAAGAATATAAATCGCAACATACAAAAAATAAATCTCATACAAGTATTAAGAAGTCTAAGGTAGAATATATATTCCTATATGAATATTGAAGTCTCAAGAAGAGCATATCCTAGAAGGAATAGAGTCATCGAATGACTGAATAACACTATCTCATTATGTATATCTCAGAATAATCTCTGATGCAGTAGAGAATATATCTCGTGGAAGAGAAATGTAATTCACTAAAAATAAGAACATCCTTGAAAGAACTAATTCATGATGGATTTACCGGTCGATTCTTGAATAAACACCATTTATCCCTGAAGTGAATATAGACCCGAGAGAAAGAAAATGAAGAATCTTAAACACCATGAATGTGTCATATAAACACTCAGAAAGTGCATATCAAAAGCTAGCAAATGAAGTCTTGATATCCTCTAAATACCATAGAAGGTATAAGAATAATGGTGATTTTGGTAATTGAATTATTCCCTAAATGCCAAATGTAAGACTAGATTTATTATTTAGTTGTACAATTAAAATCCTAAAGATTTGAAGAACGTATAATTTAAAAATCCACTAAGGAAGAACTATAAGTATTAAAACTCTAGTATAAGTTTGATACACTATCTAGAAGATATTGAATATTGTAACTTATTTACCCCCATAATCATTTGAAAGGATTTATTGCCCTAAAGAATAAATTTTATTTGTTTTGCACAACTAATAAGTGATTATTTTTTGCATGAAGCATATTGCTCTTGTTTACTCATATTATAATTCATTGAAGAATGGTAAGCTAACATTTTGATATTATGGTACTGCATACTATTATTAAGCACACATCTAGCAAAAAGTGTGGACTGAACAATGAAGTTCAAAGGAAGCTTTATGAGGGGGAGCAATTTGAGTAAATCTACCTTGAAGATAATTAAAACCACTATAACTACAAAGATCAAGTAGACCATATTTGCTAAAACATTAAAATTTATGCATAGATCATGAAGATAAATATATATTCATGAAGAATAGAATATCCTGAAGAATACATGACCAAGAAGATTAAATGTTGTACTCTTTTTTCCTATATGAGTTTTTACTTGAAGGTTTCTCACGTAAGATTTTTAATGAGACAACATGTGCAATGCAATTAACGAATGCGATGTACTCTTTTCTACAAAAACCGTTTTTCCCACTGAGTTTTTGGATTTAGTTTTTAATGAGGCATGTGCATATCGTGGTAATCGTCCAAGGGGGAGTGTCGTAGAACATACAGACTCTATCCTAAAAGAAAAGGAGACGGAGGAATCATGATCCTAGTCCGTTTGTATGTGGCCTCTTACTAAAACTCTAAGGTCTTGGTGGGACTATATATATGTGGAAGATCTATGTTGTAATCACTAATATTCAGAGGAATAAAGAATACTCTCTCTATCTCTTGTGTCTATATGTTCTAATTTCATTTACTATTTTGATCATGAGAGACGGAGAGGAAAAGATCCTCACCGCTGGCAACATGTTTTATAACAGTTATATATCTCACACCTCTGAGTTTTTCGTCTTCACACTGCCGCTGCTCACGACTCGCTCCCGCGGCCGCTCCACTTGACTCGCTCCCAGGCCGCAGTTCCCCCCGCTCCTAGGCCATCGTTCCCAGTTCCTCCACTCTCTCCCTGCGGCAGCTCCTCATGGCCTCCTTCAACAGCGACGGCGCAACACATTGCAGCGGCTCAACGGCGATGGCGCAACACAACATCGGCTCCTCTCCTCCCCAGATCGACAGCGGATCGACAGCGGCGTGGAAGGCGATGGCGGCGCGAGATCTGTAGCTGAGTGGCGCGATGACGTCGTGCAACAACAGCGTACGGCGTCTTGGCGCAGCTAGCAGCGCCATAGTGCCGTGCCCTGGGCACGGCGACACGACACGACACGGCACGGCATGGCACAGGGCCACCGTGGTGCCTAATAGTGCCATGCCTCACCAGTGCGTAGGCAGCACTATTGGACATCTATAGTGAGCACAAAGTTGCCACAGCATGCACTGCAGTACATGGATCAGGCAGTCGCAGTCCCTATGGCTCTCCGGCTGTCTGCTATGCATCGGCCAAGCCATGCCTTGTGCCTGCTGCTTTTGTTAAATGATAACACGCTTGAGAAAAAATTGTAAAAATTAAAAAATTCATAAGATGCAGTAACATAACAAAGCAAGGTGAGAAGACCTGCATCAACATTATAGAATAATAAATTATTTGAAATAAGTTTAATTCATTCAAAAGTTAGATTCAGGTACCATCTAATAATACCCAAAGTCCCAAACAAGATAATACATGCATAAAAAATTAATCTCCATCCACAAGCTCTAGCAGATAATAAAGCTTGTTACATATGACATAGGCATTGCGACTGTATTTTCAATACCTAACAATTAATAGGTATAGTTCTGGATTTGAGGGCTCATATTTCAGCCCTTCACCATAGGCTACTGATGCTTCAGCAAACTTGCCTGCCTTAGAAAGGTCCTTTCCCTGGGCACAAGCCATTGCAACTAATCTCACGTTATTTAGGATCACTTCAACCTCTGAGTTAACACGATCAATAAGCCAAGTCTTCTCAGCCAGCGCAACAGCTGAATCAAATCTACAAAAACAGGTTTCAATCATTGTGCCACAAGATGTTTACAACCAAGGAAAGAAGGCAAGCGATCACGAATCTCAAGGCTTGGTATTTGTATACCTTTCAAATGCCATGTCGACCTGGGCTTGGACAATATGGACATAAGAATCCGCTGACATGCCTGAGACTTTGGGTGGCATTGAAGGCAATGATGCACTATCCAATTTCAATAAACTTGTAATAGTCGGATCAACTTCCTCTAATTTGTGCAACCGAAGCAGTCTTCCAACCTCAAGGCAAGAAGCTGCACTTGAAGTATGGTTCCCTTGTGAATGACTCAATTACTAGGAAAAGGCAACATATTTTCCATGCATCTCCCTTGATAGATTTCCACCTCATGCAGCTTCTGTCACTCAGCAGGATCAGACTGGTCTACATTTCCAGCACGTGTGAAGTGTGTCCTTGCCATCTCAGCCATCCCAAACCTGTTGTAATATGGTCGTGAGTCATTGTGCAAATGAGAAAAACTTCCATTTTCGACAGTTCTAACATGATCACAGACTATCCCTACACTACATAACAGTGCCTTCAGCATACAAAAACTGAAATCACTCTCCAGTAATATAGCACTGAGAACTGCATCAATATGACCTAGTCTCTAGAAATATCAAACCAAATACATTGATTACTAACTGACAGACAGTCCCTGGAACAAATATTGCCCAAAAGGCCAAAAGGAAAATTTGATCAGTCAACAATTCTATGCCCAAACTCTTTCAACAGTGGCCACTACCGTCAGGCTCAAATAATTCGGACTCCACAGAGAAACAGTCTGATTTATCTTGGCCACAGCAATGAGCAACAGCTCAATCCACCTCAAAACTTAAATAGGCCGTCAATGCTACATATCGATGTCAATAGTAACTACAGAGCAAATCATTAAAATGCAATTGCATCGGCAAAACTGCCAACAAGCATCAGCTCAGTCAATCATGTAATCAATGCAGTTAGCTAGCTTGGTCAGAAATTGGTTGTTTCAGTTTTCTGGATCAATGTAGCCTTAATTTCATCGATAAGAAAGTAGCATAAATCTCAGAAGTACAAGAAAACCTATCCCCATCCAGATCAAACAAGATACCCACCCACCCCTCTTGATCTAAGCTGTTTGTGATTACTTACGATTCAAATCACCACAGTGAAAGAAAATGTGAACACAAGTGAGCAACAGAACAGAACAAATTGTTTCCATAGGGAATGGGAAGGAGGATATGGTCGCACCTTTGCCTTGGGAATGACTTTGATGGCGACATCCTTGCCCCAAATCAAACTACAGAAAATATCGCAACACCAAAATGGCATGTATTGCAACAATGGCAACATAAGGGAAACCCAGAACTCTCTGTGGCAACGGTCACAATAATTGATAAAAGATACCAACATTCCAGTACCGGGACCACAACAGAAAACAAAAAACTCAAAATTTCATTGGATCAGCAAGGACACACTTTTAAAGTCAGTGCTATCTTCTTTTTATTTTCTTTTGGGGTGTGTGTATGGGTGGGTGGGTAAGGGGGAGGCTCAGCTTCGCCTTTGCTCATTCATCTTACCGTATCCAAAGTTCAACTAGGCGCTAGGCGGAATCTAGGCGCTGACCCATTGCCTAGCGCCTAGTCGGGAGTACTCGGTCCTAGGCGCTCCTAGGCGTTTTCCTAGGCGTTTTGGCAATATAGCCATAAATTATATATATATTATGTATATAACTATATATATGTATATAACTACTATATATGAGTCACAGACTCACAGTAAGTATAAAAAGAGGGTCAGTAGACATCTGATTCCTAGCTGGCTTACTCTTGCATGTTCCTAGCTCCTGCAACACATTTTGACAGCTAGTAGTTAGTAAATTAGTCAATAGACAGCTAGCTGTTCATAAAAAAAATAGAAAACACTAAGTTGTGACTTATCTGGATGATTTCAGCAGCCTCCCATCCATGAGCACACCATATCAGCAGCTGGTAATTACAATACAAGTGGATAGGACAGTAATACAAGTGCACAACACAATTTATAAATAAAGGACAGCACAAGCACATAGTTCTCAGTTCAGGTCTCACAAATCACAAAAGAAGACACACAGGACACAGCAGGACCGGCAGGGGACGAGCTTGGACGAGCAGGGGAGGAGCAGGACCGGCGGGGAGGAGGTCGTCCGGCAGGGATGGACCTCGCCCGGCGAGGAGGACCAGCGGCGGGGACGAGCGAATGGCGCCGCGCTCCCTTCTAATCCTCCCGCGCCTGGGTCTCGTGGCCACGCGCGGGCCTGGCCGCGCGGGAATTCCTCCCGCGCTCCGATTTGGCGCGCCAAAATTGGCCGCCCTCGAGCTCGCGCTCATCTCGCGCTACGCGCCGCCTAGCGCCCGCCTAGCGCGCCTACGCACCGCCTAGCGCCGCGATGCGCGACTATGCCCCTAGTCGCGGCGACGGGCTTCGCCCAGCGACTAGGCACGCATAGTCGCCGAGTAGTCGCCGCCTAGCCGAACTTTGACCGTATCCCCATCATCTCTTATCACCAGATCAACTTGTTCTGATAAGTGGAGCTGCCCTGGTTACCAAGGACAAAGCCATTGTCATTAGAACATAATTGAAAAGGTTTCCAAGAGAGGAAAGCGAGGACTCCAGTTTGGTACCCATAGCAGCCTTGATTGCTCAAAGGCGCGTATGTCAGCCTTGGTAATTGATCATTGCCCCACATTGGAATTTTACTTATTCGTAATTGAGGGGCACTCAGGTAGAAACTTATGATATGGAATTGACTTGGCATATTAGTCCTACTAACATTAACCAAGGTCTCACAAATCAAGCAGCAAGGCAAGTGAAAAACAGCCCTAGATCATGGTAGAGAATCAACAGGACATGGAAATAGCACAAAAGAACAAGCAGATAAGAGAACAAGAGTACAAAGCAGAATAAAACTTTTAAGCAAATCAAAAAGCAGATTAGCTGCAACAGCGGCAAAACCATCATAAACTGCCATGGGAATTTTCTTTTGGGCAGGGGCGGGGTACTAGGACAAAAAGGTCACTTCAGTGGCTCAGATTTCAGATTTAAACATTATCAGGATAGCAACTGCAAATTGTAGTGGAAGCACAATGTAATCTCCCTTGCTCTCTCTCTCTCTCTCTTCTTGGCCACATAACTGGTTACTTGTTGCTACAACTGCCCAAAAGGATGCTTCTCCAGGTGCGTAGACAGAATTGCATTTTTTTAGGACAGAGGTAGCAAGGTACAAGCCATCCTAGTTAAGCAGCAAGCAGAATAGAATATCCCAGGGATCAGCTCCAAAAATGCTACAGTGCAGAAGCTCTCTAATGGAAAGTTCAATCATCATAGCCACTCGAGAGTAGTACAAACAAAAAAGAAAGTCAGAAGGCATCTGATATAAAGCACAAAGTCTTTTAGTATATGTAAACACCAGAAAAAAGTGAGACATGTACTACATGTGTGCAAAAAGAATGGTGGGAGAGACAAGAGGATGTAGTTTAGGGCCTGTTTGGAACAGAGATTTCCCCATGTTTTTTTTTTCTCGAACACACAGGAGAGCTGTGTATCATTATATTAAAAAGAAAAAGCGGAATGAACCCTTACAAACACCCCCAAAACTCACACCAAAAATTTCCCCATATGTTCTCCAGGCCATCACACTGGCAGCCCAATCCACCAACCATAGCCCAGATGAACCCCCAACTCAGTTCCCACCCCTTGATGCTGCCACTGACCTACTGGCGGCTGATCAAGAGTCCCCATGGCAATGTGTCACGACAAAGAAAAAGAGGCCATAGAGAAGTGGAGGTCCCAGGTGGCTGCTGGCTAGGTGGATGGACCAGTGCCAACAGAACTGTTGTCATCACCACCATCAGCACCAGATTATAACCAATTCCTAAGGTATCAGCTGAGATTGATGTCGCATGCTGAAGAAGAGCTATAGTAGTATACTCCCACCATTCCAAATTGTAAGACGTTTTGGCTTTTCTAAATACACAGCTTTTGCTAGCACTTAGATATACACTATGTCTAGACACATAGTAAATGTAGTCCTGGAGCTAGATGACCAGCTCCAAAAAATTATTCATAGAACTAGAGCTTTGCCAAACAGGGCTGTAGATCCAACCCCATTTACACATGGCATCCTCAGATCCTCAAGGGCATGCATACATGTGAAAATTCTCACATGCGTGCATACACACAAGGGAGGGAGGGAGGCAGTTAAAGGAGGATATAAAACTACAATCAAACAATAAAAAATCCACCAATCACAAGGTAGATCCCACATTGCCTAATCAAACCCCAACCAGAAGCCACAGCAAACCCACTCCATGGTTCCCAATCCTCTGCTGCTGCAAGCATCTCCAGATGCTTGCTTCATAAAAGCCAACATGGAGCAGGAAGGATGGCACCAGGAAGCACAGGTCCAAGAGGGACACAGTTGGAAGTCAGAGACCAATCCAGATGAAGATTGATTTTCCTTTCCTTATTATATTGAGAAGCAATCCTAGCTTCCTTATTATATTGAGAAGAAATTCCTAGGCCCCGTTCGGCTTGCTGAAACTTGACTGAAACTGGCTGAAAAACACTGTTCTGGCTGAATTGTTGTGAGAGAAAAACATTGTTCCGGCTGAAAAAAGAAGCTGAACAAGCCGGCTTTAAGGTAAGCCGAACGAGGCCGTAGGAATTTCAGGGCCCCCTTGGAATGAGAGGGATTTTTTTTTCTGAAAATCCTATGTTTCTCCTATGAAAAAGAACTGATTCCTGCAAAATTCCTGTACAATTCATGTCAAGTTCCTGCGTCCCAAAGGATCTATGCATCAAATCTACCCAAGTAAGGAATCTTATATGACATCAAATCAAAGTTGACATATTCGTCCCATCAGTACCATGATCCTGGTCCCAAGTTGAAATCACTAAAAAAGGTAGGATACATGAAGGAAAATAGAATCATAAACGGAAGTATATGACGGAACAGAAAGAGTAATGTCACATTGAAAGGCTCAGATTTGCCCCAGTATCAACACAATACTCGCAGAACAAACAAGTACTCCCTCCATCCCTCTCTCAATGAACTTTTGAGTAGGGTTGTTCATATGGATATATATACTACACCACCACCACAGCAATGACAACAATTAATTGCAAACTGGTTGCTTGTATATGGTACAAGCCATCCAAGTTTAGCAGCATATTGAGCAACATACCAAAGGTAACAATTCAGGATGCTAAAAAGTAATAGCTCTATGGGGCTGGAGCATTTGACATCACAGCCGCTGAAGAACAGTTCCAAACAAGAAAGGAAGATCAACAGACAAGCAACAACAAAATATCTGAAAAACAAAGGAATGCGTACAAACTACCAAAATGGATCAATGCTGCCTTTGCTCAATCATTTAACCAACCCATCATCTCTTATCACCAGATCAACTTGTCCTGATACGATAAGTGAAGCTGCCCTGGTTATCACACATGGAATGGCGTGACCATCCACAGACAAAGCCACTATCATTAGAACATAACTGAAAAGGTTCCCAGGAGAGGAGAGGGAGGATTCCTGTCTGGTACCCATAGCAGCCTTGATTGCTCAAAGGCCCTTATGTCAGCCATGGTCGTTGATCATTGCCCTACATTGGAATTTTTATGGCCTCATTCTTGATGAGCACTTAGGCAGGAACTTACTCCCTCCATTCTGGATTTAGAGGCGCACTAGTTCTAGAAAAGCTTTCGGGATTTACAGGTGACCAAGCCAAATGTTGTCGCTCACGGCCTGTATTCCTATGCGGGAGTTAATGCAACGCCTTCCTTGTTTCCAGCTGCATGCGGCCATACAGGAGAGTGTGTGGGCACAGGCATTCCTGTGCAGTGCATGCATGCAGCTGGAACGATGTGGCATGCGGCAATAGCATGCAAAATAAATAAATGAAGAGACAACATAAAATCATGTTTTCTTTCCTTTTCTGAGGGGGGGCTCAGCTTCGCCTTTGCTCAATCATTTAACCATATCCCCATCATCTCTTATCACCAGATCAACTTGTCCTGATATGATAAGTGGAGCTGTCCTGGTTATCATACAACACACATGGAATGGCATGACCATCCAAGGACAAAGCCACTATCATAGAACATAATTGAAAAAGGTTTCTAAGAGAGGAAAGGGAGGATTCCAGTTTGGTGCCCATAGCAGCCTTGGTTGCTCAAAGGCGCTTATGTCAGCCATGGTCGTGGATCATTGCCCCACATTGGAATTTTATGGCTTCCTTTCTTGATGGGCATTTACATATTAGTCCCACAAACATTGACTGAGGTCCCAGGATCAAATCCAGCAGGAAGGCAAGTGAAGAAGAATAGCCTTCATCACGGTAGAGCATGAACAGGACATGAAAAAGAACACAAAAGAACAAGCAGATAAAAGCACACAAGAGTACAAAATACATGCTTGGAAAAAACACACGAGCACAAAATTTTTTTTTGCTGCAACAACGCCCAATCTATCCACGCTTGGAAAAACAGACGACCACTACTCCCTATCTTGGGGCGGTGATTTTAATGGAAAGGTTGCAAAACAAGACTTTTAGGATTTTTTTTTTTTTTTTTGTGACTGCTAGAGACGCTCTAAGGTACAAGGCATCCTGTTAAGATGTAAGCAGCAAACAAAGATAGAATCACATTCTTCTTTGGATGGAGGTAGTAACTACTAACTAGTAAGGCATGAGCCATGCTAGTTAAGCAGCAAACAGAATAAAATATCCCAGGTACCAGCTCAGAAGATGGAGTGCAGAAGCTCTCTAATGGAAAGTTGAACCATCATAGAAACTCAAGAGTAGTATGAAACAAAAACAGAGTCATAAAGCATCGCAACATAAACCATACTAAAAGGGCTCAGCATCACCTTTGCTCAATCATAGTAACCAAGCCCTCCCTTCTCTTGCTGCCCAATTTACTCATCCTAATGTGAGTGGAACTGTGCTGGTTGTCACATATCCGAATGACCATCCTAGGCAGAACCACAAACAAAAAGGGATGACTAAATAGGCTTCCAGACAGGAGAGGATCAGCTCTAATTAGATACTTGCAGCTGCCTTGATTGCTCAATGGCATGCAATTCCAAAAAGGTTGAGCATCATTGCCGTTCGTCAGCACTCCATTTCACATATTCGGTCCCATTACCATGTCCAACATGGCCACTCTAAGTAAATTTCACTTACACCGGTCACTGGATACTTTCACCCAAGTCAGAAAACAGGATACAGGGAATTTAAGCTATTTGGCTATTTGTATTCAGATCTGGTTTAATTACAAGTGTATACATGGAAATGGGACCGCGCCCCTGCAAGATTATCAGGTGAACATGTGCACACCCATGTCCTTTTCTGGACGCGCCCCTGCAAGGGAAGAGGGGTGGGCACACCTGGTGGGTGCTCGTCGCCGGCAAAGTGCCCGGTTAAGACCAAGACCTGGGCTCCTGACATATGGTGGCGTGGCCTCCCAGTCGTCACCACGAGAGAGAGAGAGAGAGAGAGAGAGAGAGAGAGAGAGAGAGAGAGAGAGAGCCCTGGTGGGCTGGCGCATCTCTTTACAGCACCAGCAGATGATCAGTGTGTGTGCTCTTTACAGCACCAGCAGCTGAGCGATGCCCGCCACTGTATTCTCTCCCTTGCTAGCGATGTGAGCGAGGTGTGTGCCTCCCAAGTAGGGATCAAACCGGATCGGATACCAGTGATCCTGCATTATGTCCCATATCCTTTGTTATATCCAGCCCTCTGGGGCCCCTAATACTACCCAACCCAATACCACTCCTCAAATCACCAACTATTTAGGGGCAGCTCTGCTGCAGCAGACGCCACCGCTTCTCGACGCCCAGCAACCAAGAACAGTCCCCTCAGGTTGTCTTGTCCGAAATTTTAACGGGAGCACCATCAGCCAGCAGTGTGTGTGCTCTTTACAGCACCAGCAGCCGAGCTATCCAAGCTGCAATAGACCCTTTCTTCCTCGCCACCGACCCCACCCCGGCACCCCGGCGTCCGCGCTCCTGCACCCCAGCGCACCCGCGCCACCGCACACCGGCGCGCCGGGAGGGAGGGAGAGAGATTGAGGGAGATGGATGGAGGGAGGGAGGGAAGGAGAGGGAGCGCAGCGCAGCAGACCAAACCCGACTCGGAAGCCGCGTAGGCGGCTCCGCAGGGTTCCCAGCCCCTGCCGCCACCGATGCCAAGCAATGTAACAGCGGCGAGGCGGCACCGTAGGATGGGCATCTGAAGCGACGGCCGCTCCGGAGAATGGACTGCGCACTGCCCCCGATTCGATCTAGGGTTTGGGTTCAGGGAATGTGCGAACATACATACTACTACATCCGTCACGGAGATAATGCAATCTAGAGTAGCATTCAAGAGAACGCGACGACGGCGAGGACAAGGAAGAGTCAGATATACAGAGAGCATGCATACCAAAACGATGCATTCGCAACCAAAGGCTCGAAAAAGGTCCATCAAAGGCGGCTCAGACCCGCGTCGCTGGACCACGGCCCAGACCAGAACCCGCCGCGGACCCCACCCCGACGGTCCCCAACCCCAGCCCCCGCCGCCGCAGCACCGTCGCCCGCCCAAGGGTCCGCAATCCGACACGGCGCGGCGGGGCGGGGAGCGGGGTGGCCCCGGGGAGACGCGGATCCAAGGATAGCTGCCGGTCGGGAGCCGGGCCAGCGCCAACCGCGGCGCCCTTCCTCATCGCCACTTTTGTTCCAAGGGCTGTTGGTTTCAGTG